CATATTTCAGCAGACAAGGAACCTGCTCAGCTCTTGAAATCTGCAAAAACGGGAGACACTGAACTTCATTCCGCAATCATAATGGCCTACAACAGTCCTGATCTCAACACAGTCGATTATGCTATTTGGGGTATTCTCTTTGTGGTTTCCCACCATCACACCTTTTGTCTGCTGATCTCCTTGTATCAATTTTGCGAATGAGCCGATAGAATCCTGATAGTTATCAATTTCTATTTGAGAATTCCTGAAATAATAGTTTGGCACCATAATGATGTTCAAGTGGTAAAATTTTAGTTAAGCTTAAATCATCTTTAGTAAAAACCATATTTTATTTTTATCGTTTGATATCGAAAAATCGTTTGGTTTTTTTTATTTTTGAAATAAAGTTGCATATTTTCAAAACCTGCTAAAAAATTAAACTTTGTAAAATTGTTAAGAATGAGTTATTTTATCACTCTGTAAAATTTAGTGAAACCTAAAATACTGACAGAGTTAAGATTAAGTGAAAAAGGGTGTAACTTCAACTGGATCACTTTGTATAAATTATGTAAAAATAAAATTAGAATAATAAAGTAGAATAGAATAAAACTGTTTCTATATCCATTTGCTGATAGGAAAAATTTTCAATGATGGATACATCGTGAATGCCATCCAAATCGAAGTGTGAAACATCTCGGAGATGGAAAAAACTGGAATTTAATTCCCCGAACATTGGGTCAGGTGGGGAATCCATATTTTTGAGTGGATCTTGCATGGTGGTAAAATGTTCGTTCCTAAAGAATGTATAATAAATATGTATCAGCTAGTGCTGGCAAACAGCTCGATTTGATCTAATATTTAAAAACGACTAACTCAATATTTTATTCAGAAAAATATTATGCAAGCCTGAAGATTTTGTTCATAGAGAGCACAATGCTATCTTTCTTCTTTTCTTACTATCTACAATGTATTACTTTCCAGTTTCGAAATTTGATGGGTGACCTAACTTACAATTTTTTTAATATATTTCAAAAATTACCTTTTAATTTAAAAAAAATAAAGCCTAATTTTAATTTATTTGTAATTTGAGAAGAAAATATATTTGTATTGATTTGATATAAAATATATATTTCGTATTGGGATATGTAATCCATTGAGATTCGAAAACCTCTCAATTTTAAGTCATTTACTGAGGGCGAATTTTAAATATGAAAAATCTGGTTTGTCCAGAAATGTAATAGAGCTTCCACATTATAAATTTTAGACAATTTTGCCTAGAACTTTTTAATTTTTCTTAATTTATATCAATTTTTAAAAAAAAATTTTTGCATGATTTAAGTAAATATATATATAAATTTATGGCGATATCTGAAATTTATAATATGATATACAAAAATAAACAACAAATTATAACTTTGAGTCGGGCATATCGATGTTAGAAAAAGCTATTTTCATGGCGCTGAAATGGCTATAGAGGAATTTAAAATCATCTAAATTAAGTTGTTTTTTTTTAAATATAAAATTTTGAAATTCTTAAATCTTTTGAGAATTTTATTTTATTTTATTTAGGATACCTAAAATAAAAGATAGGGTTTCATATTGGGATATAATTCAATTTATTTTCTCTCAATTCTATATCATTTATTGAGGGCGATTTTTAGATTAGGAAAGTCTGATTTGACAAGAAATGGATTTTAGCATGTGTTGAGTAACTAACCTATGAATTTCAAACAATTTTAGCCATGACCTTTTTATGTATTTTTCAATTTATATGAAAGTAAGCGTAGTTTAATAGTTAATGGCTTGTCTGAAATTCAAATTGTGAATACTCTATATATGCTATAAAACTTTTCCGAAATTTCCGAAAAAATTGTCTTTTTAAAATCGCATTCATTAATTGATTTTAAATAAATTCCGAATCCTCAATACCTAAAATTTTCGAGGATAACATTAATTTCATAAGGATGAAATTGAAATAAATATATAGTAAGGCTGGAACATCAGGAATCATGATTCAGTTATATGTTAAAATCACGTCTAAAACTTAATTCATTTTCAAATAACTGCAATATAATGAGAATCACTTTACTAGTGGACACATTTCTACTTAAATTTTAAAAAAATTCAGAAAAAGGCCAGACTCAGGAAAATTCCAATGAATCACTTTATTTCTTATATAAACATTTATTTTAATCATCTGTATAAGAATTAATTAAAAATTATAGTTAAAAATGATTGTGGGAATTAATTAAACTGAAATGTTTAAAAATATTTTGAAAAAAAAAATTAATCTTCTATTAACATTAGGATTATCACAAATAATCGCTATTGTGGAAATTTTAATATAATTATTAGATTCTCATAGAGATCGGATAAAATAAGAAAGATGCAAAGTAACTTTTATTTTTATAAAAAATAATAATAAAATTTGTAAAAATAAAATTTGTCGGACATTTCACAAATGTAACTCATGATACTCTCTATTCTTCCTAAGATACTTTTCAATTATTCTAATTTTTTTTTATTTCATACTTTATTTGGTCAATTAATTCAGATTTTTTTAATTTAAACCTAAGGCCTCATTTAGAGTAAAATCATTATGTTTCAAGCGGTGCGTAGTTTACAAAATCAAGCCAATAATTAAGTACAATTTATAATTGTGGAGCATTATGATGATAACGCTATGATAAATTTGAGAAGCAGGCAACGCCAAAAATTATTAACACTGAAAAGAATCAGCTGTAATTTCGAGGCGTTTTATGCAACGCTTAAACATAACGCCGTTATTATAAATGGGGCTTAAATATCTAAGACCTTTGATATTTCGAATAATATTAAAAATTTCATTTTCTACGCTAACTAGCATTTAATTAGGACCTAGTTTATAGTAAACTCGCATCGCTTAGATATTTTTCAAAAGTAAGCAAATAGATAAAATTTATAATCTATAACCATGTCATCGCATCGGTTTACCTATCATTTGCTTGCCTTTGAAAAATATCCAGCGATTTGCGTTTACTATATAAAAGGCTTTAATTCTGAGTAATTACCATATCTTTAAAGCAATAGATATTAATATATTAATATTTAAAACTAGAAGTACCCTGTATAAGTTTAATATATTTATTTTGTTTAAAAATTTTATTTATGACTATCAAACGCACAAACTTTTTTAAGTGCTAGGACGACTTTGATAAACTTCTCACTGGCTTACAAATTAGACAGCTGATTACATTTAGAAATGGCCAAAAATAATAATTTTGACTGTAATAATATATTATTTATGAATATAGCTAACTTAATAAATATTCGTTTTGTTTGGAGTAGACCTTGGTAATACCGAACATTAATTGAGACGATAGGTACAAAGAAAATTTTGGCTTATGCGAACCACCTTTACCCGTGCTGGATATAACTTTATTCAAGATATAATCTATGATGTCTTGGCTAATAGTACCATATTAATTATAATATAAAAGTTCGTCTCCGTTAAGTTATATAAAGATTTTATTTTACCATGTCATCGAGATATTGACGCTATAATATTCTTTTTTTGTCAAATTAGAGGATCTAGTAGCAGCTAGCCTTCAAAAAAAAGAAACGCTGTTATAAATATTTTTTATTAATTGATTAGATAACTGCAAATCAGAGCTCGGTGTCTATTTTTTAGAAAATTATTTCGGTTCGGGCTGGGTGGAGCTTAATATATTCTTAATTTCGGGTCGGGCCGGGCTTAAATTTTTAAATACGATATCATCACATTTTGTCAAATAAATTGATATATTTTAAAAATCTTGCAAGAAAACAAGTCGCTAATATTTTTTATTTGTAGAAAAATTTTTTTACAATAAAAAGAAAATATTACATTTATCTATATTTAAATAAACTCGGGCCGGCCCGATAAATAATTTTTATTTTGGTTCGGGATCGAGCCGGGCAGAACAATTTTTTTTTAAAAAAAATCCGGACCGGGCCGGTTTAAAAATTAGCCCCGATGGAGATTACGAGATTCCAAAGAAATCAAATCATATGGATAGTTTTATTTGCGCACAATCGATAAACTGTGAAACTAATTATATAAAACTGTTTTGACTATTTTTTTACGGCGGGAATGAATAAGTAAACCCTTATACTAATTAATATTATATAGATTCACTGTTTAAACAAAATTACTTGCTAATTAAAACTTTTATTTTAATGAATGAAAAATAAAAACTATAAGGTAAGCGATATAAATGTCAAAATCAAATAAATCCAAGTTTTTAGCCTAAAACTATCAGTTTGGCCTAGGGGTTTCTCTTAAAAAGATAGCATCTAAAGTTTGAAAGAAATTAATATATATTAAAACGCCTTAATGTTAATGGATTTCCTCCAGCTGGCGCTTGAAGATTGAGCCGAATTAGCCGATATTTACCATTACCCAACTAGTCATTTATTGTCTATTATGACGGAAAACTTATGACACAAGAACAGATATTTATTAATATTTTATTTTTATTGAAAGTTTTACCAAATAACTCCGAATTTTCCTCCTCTCTTTTGTAATATATCATGAGAATAGAACATTTCAAAATATCAATTTAATTCTTCAAATTTTGTTTGTATATTATATCTTAAAAATTCTATGAAATGGAAATTAATTATATATAATTTTATTAACTTTTTAAAGCAGACGATAATGCGCCCTAAAAAATTTCATATAATTTTATTTTTTTTAAAAAAAATTATTAATTGTTCTTTTTAAAAATATTTTATTCACATTGAACTTTAAAAAAAAATTGTTTTTCTAAATATATTATTTTAATAATTAATCAAAAATTTAATATATTAAAACCTTAAATACAAAAATTCAAAAATTTAAGAATATATAAGAAGTTAAAAAAAGTTTGAATAATAATATTATTTAAAAATAGATTAATTGATTATATTTTGGATTCATAAATATTTGACAAGTAATACATAAATATTTCACAATTTGAGCAACACATTATCTCAAAAAAAAAATATTTATTTGACACAGAATAAAGAAATATATTATTAAATAAATTAAAATTTGGGTAAATATTATTATAGTACAATATATTCCCGTTAAAATTCATTCGAATTAATTTTTAACAAATAAATAATAATTTTTAAAATATAAGTACAATTTTTTAGTTTTACTAATTAAATAAATGAGTTTGGATTTTAGGGGTTTTCACATGATGTAAACTTTCTCAACTTGGCTAAAGGCAAAGGACTCTCTCGTTTGTGGGCAAGTGATTTTGTTTTCGTTATTAGCTGCCATTTGCTGCAATGCCTAAACAAAAAATAATAAAAGTTTATTTTATAATGTTACATACATCCCACTTTCTTGATGTAATTTTAGAGGAAGAATGACGATTAAAAAATTAATAATATACCAATAATTAATCATTTTTATGAAATTTTGAAAGATAATAAATTTAGGAATAGTATTTTTGTAATCAATCAATTTCAGTTTTTCGTTTTGACTGGGTCATAATCATATCAAAGAGACGACTGGATAATTCTCATGAATATTATTTTCTCTTGGTTTTCCATATTTTACATTTATTTAATTAATAAATATGAATTTTTCGCTTTTATTACTAAATAAAATTTGTTTTTAACCATTTAAATTTGAATAATAATTTATTTAAAATTAAAAGATTCTAATAAATATAGTAGCCTAAATGTTTTTAAAATAATTATTTTTAGAATTTCTGTATATTTCAGATTTTGAAAAAATTTAATATTATCCTTATTAATGACTAATCTAATGTTATCCAAATTTCTGTTGTAAGGAATACACTTATAAAGATTTATGAACATGTTTAATTTAAAAAAATATATTATTTAAGCATTTAAATAAACAAAGAACCGGTATAACTTATATAATTTGGAGAAAAATGTGTAGAAAATTTCAGAAAAAATTTATCATTCGAAAACATAAAATATTTTGCTAATTCCAATCGTGTTAAACCTTTTTCCCGTAAATCTGCCCATTTGGTAACATGAGAGGAGGGTTGGTATCATCCAAAGGTTCTCGCCCGATTCTACAAATCAAACGGGATTGAGTGCTGTGAGCAAAGGGAAGATCTCGGCACAATAGGGCCATTTTAGAATTACACACTGGACATCGGGGGTCGGCCACATAACTACTGCTAGAAGCAGATGATGCGTTAGAAGTAATTTGCGTAGATGGGGTTGAGACAGCTGGAATAAGAGCAGAAGATAGAGAAGGCGCGGAAGTAAAGGAAGTTGAGGATATAATAGCGGAAGTAGAAATATTCGTTAAAGGCGTAATAGGAGTCGAGTCGTCAGATGACAAAGTTGAAGTATAAGCAGATGATATAATGGGAGTAGAAAGAGATAAAGTTGAAACGATTGAAGGCGCTAGTGAAGCGGGAGTTGCAACAGCAGGTAATAGACTTGAAATAAAAGCAGATGATAACGAAACAGGAGCCGTGGCAGCCGATGACGTAACTTTTTTGCGTCGCTTGGAGGTTGCAGAGCTTGTCGCGGGATTTTCTTTGTCCTTGCAATAAGAATCGTATTTATTCGTATTGCATTGACTTTATTTTATTTTTTAAATTAACAAGTTTTAAACTAATATTCAAATATATATAACAATAAATATTTGTGTATAGGAGTTTGAAAATTCAGTTTGTTAAACTAGGTTTTTTTGCAAATTTGTAAAACTTAAATCATTTATTTAGTCTGAATCATGTGTCAGCATGTTTAAAGTATATATCCTGTAAATTTCAGACAATTTCGCAGCAAAGGAAACCCCTATACGTGTGGGAAAAACAATTCAGACAAATTCAGGTGGTCATTTTAAAATTAAAAAAGAGGCGATATGAATGATTTAAAATTTTAAAAAATTTACAAAAAAACCACCCTTTTTTTTAAATGAAAAAAAATAATCATACAAAATAAGGCCAATAAATAGGTAAAAATGTATAAATATGGGGCATTATGATGATAAGGCTATGATAACATTTGAAATACATATGTTGCGATGCGTTGATAAAAAATATGTTATACGATTATAAAGTTAATAATAAATTCAATAAAAAGGTATATTATTTTTCTTAAATATTATATAAAATAATTATCTCTATTTTAGCTTTATCTTAAATTATTTTAAAACTGAATAAGTTGTAATAACGCTGCTAAATAACGCAACGCTTGAAAATAACGCGTTAACTATAAATGCAGCGTAAATAAACGAGATTTATAAATTCATGTAAAGTTTTTTTAACGGTGTTTTGAGAGATGCCAATCCGGCTTGTAAGGTGATGCAAAATATAGATTGTTTATCGAGCTGGTACATTTTAAATATGGCGTCTCTAAATGAATGAACCAAATCTACCCATCTATCATCGCTAAGGTATTCCTAGAAAATAAAATTATGTTAAATACTAATACAATTATTTTTTAAATTCGAAATTTATATAAGCCTTTAATTCATATTTTTGAAAAAAGGAATATATTTAAAAAATATTTATAATGCATATTCATATGTACTGCTACAAAGCCTTTTTAAATGCGGACAATATTTACTTATCGTACTTAAAAAAGAGATTTCATTTATTTCAAAAATATATTTTAAAAATGACAACTTGCTGTGCAAATTAATAACCGTTTTAAAATGTGTTTTTTTTAAAAAAAATTTTATACAAATAGGCGTTTTAACACACATGCCGCCGCTCGATTTGTAAACACAATTAAGATTCATAAATAAGAATCAGATTCAAAACATGTGACAGAACAGTATTTCACCATAAAAAATAGAAAAATGTCAAATTATTCGAAAAAGTTGCAATTATATTTGTTTTTTTTCTTTAAATATTTAAAATTAACTTGATAAGCTTCAGAGACATCTTTAGGAGAATATACTAGGAGACCCATGATTTTTTTGACTTGATGATAATTAGTTTCATCTACGCCGCTACTAAAATATTTTCTGCTGTATCTGTAAATTAAATTTTATGGGGGAAAAAAATGTTTAAGGCAAGAAATACGAAATTTAATATAAAACCTTTCACAAAATACAAATTCTATTTTTTAGCGATTTTAATAAAAGATTTAATTTCAAGAATAAGTCGATTAGGAAGTATAAAATAGCTATGGCATGAATATTATAAAAATGCTCTAAAAAATGAAATTTATCCAAGCGAAGCGTATATTGTATTTTTTGCTTTATTATTAAACATTTTAAAAATAAATTAGGAATTTATTGGAACATCATATCCATCGATTCAAATAATTCACAATTTATAAAATTAAATTTCTTCCGCATATTTTATCCTAATAAAGGCGTGATAAATTATAAATAAATTGAAATATGTTATCATGATTTAATTGTAGTTTTCTCATTCATTCCTTAATATATATGTTTTTATTTAAATTATGTTTCATAAGTAAAAAAAAGTTGATATTTCGTTTCGTATAGTAAACTTTAACTGACCAACTATTATTTTAAAAAAATGTTTTTACTTGATAGCTTCCAAGTATAATCCTTTCTGGAACAATTGAATGAATTCTTGAATTCTAAGTTCGAATTCTAAATTACTCTGTATTTATATTTTTAAAAAATAATAAGATCGATTAGTCAAATTAGAGGTCTGCATTGGGTTGGTTTTTAGCCCACATATACTTCGGACGGGCGTGGTCGGGGTTTATAAAATATTTCCAACATGGTGAATTTTTAATATTTTTCAGGCGAAATGAGCAGAAGAGACTTCAAATTTAATATTGCATATTTTATATGTTTAATTAAAAATACATGAAAATAAATGAATAAAGAGCCAATTCAGCCTTAAAATAACCTTTAAACATGGCGGGCGGGCTACACAAAAATTTATGGGTAAATGGGGGAACGAACGGGCAAATTTTTTAAAAAAATTATAAGTGTGTGGGTGGTCGGGAAAAATTTCTAAACATCTAAGTCAAATTATCTCTAAATAATATTTAATTTATTAGTAAAATACTATTTAAAAATATTTGAATTTGTAAAGTATTATTATAATTTTTGTCATAATCACATCACTGAGAAATTGTAAAAATTAAAATAATTTAGGGAGTGAGTAAAAGGAAAGGATGATACCATATTGTGATAAAGAACTATTATTGTTATCCTGTTAAAATTATTTTCATAAAATTTAAAGTGAAATCTATGTGCCTATTTTTTGTTCTCAAAAATTATATCAAATAGATATAAAAGGTTATATCTAAGATTTGAAAATGAATTTGAAAATAGAGAGCTTTCATAAAACTTTAATACGCAAAATCTTAGAAAAATTATTAGAAAAAAATGTTTTTTATTTTGAAAAAAGGGAAATTTTATTTTTTTATTCGTGGCCACGTTTTTTTTTTGAATTTATGGACTAGTGATGTACTCTAAGGTGCATGTCTAAATAGTAAATTAATCAGGCATTGTGCAGATAGATTGTATTGATTTTTAATGAAGTGATGGAAAGCATATTTAGAAGTGCAATAGCTTAAATAGTTTATGTTATCCACTTAGCAATATTTCAAATTGCAAAATAATACATTTCAAAAAAAATCACAAATTATATTTTTCTCTATTTCTAATATTTTTCCTATCTTACCTTCATTTTTATTAAATTGTTTTCATTCATTTTTCCCCCCTCTCACTAATACAGAATTATTATTGGTTGTATTATTCTTAAAATAACATTGATGTTCACATCAGATATTCATTTTCAAATCCTTTTTAATTTCAAACTCAGAAATTATTCTTTTGGTAATTTGGGGAAAGAAAAATGAAACCTTTTTAAATATAAATAAACCCGTATTTTCCTTAATTTTGACTTATTGTCATAACACCAGAGTAGGCAAGAACCTGTCTGTTGATTTATTAATGATTTTTCAATCTCTTTGGCCATCATAAAGAGGTCTATATTTGTCAAATGCTATTTATAAAAAAAAAGATATTATAAATTAGTTTATAAAATATAGTTGTATTCACAAATAGATAATTCAAAATTTATATCAAAAACATGATAAAACTTGAATATTGGAATATTCTGCTAATGAGAGTGCAGTATCATAATAACCCCTGCGCAAAAAATATTCTATTAGCATTCTATCTAATCTTTTCTTTTTCCAAGTATTATATTTTGCATTCATTTCTTCCAAATTAACTTTTAATTTTGGATTGGTTTCATAATTTAAAAGTATCAGGCTATTATTTTTTACATCTTCATTATTAGTTGGATCATCAACTCCATTAGCAGTATTGAGGGAATTATCTAGTTCTTTGTTTATTAATTTAGTATTAACATTTGATTGATCCTTATTTTTAGCTTTTTCAATTGTTAATAAATTTGTATTATGACTCAATATACAGCCTTCTTGCAGATGTTCAATTCTTATTTTACAAAGTTTTAAAGCTTCTTTTTCTTCAGAAAGATTTTCTTTGGCCTATAATATAAAATTAAAATTACTACTTTCAATATAATTACTTTTCTTTTAAGAAAAACTAATTTTTCAGCTACATTATCAATGATATTACATATACTCTGAATGGATTCGGGATTTGAATCATTTAAACTTTTTATAGTTGTCTCAGAATCACTCAAAAAAACCTGAACTTGATTAAAATCTCTGTCCAAATTTTTAAGAGAGTTTCGATATTTTTTGTTTAGGTTTTCATAAGGAATCTGTATAAGCTAATAATATGAAAATGATCAGATTAGGATTACCTTAATTGTTGAGTATTCAAGGCATTTAATATCAATCATTGTTTAAAGGTTTATTATCAGATGTTTCTATTGGCGACTAATTAATTAACGAGGTAAAGTTTGGCTTGGGATAAATAATTAAACTTTTGAAGATATAGCTTAATTTTAGGTATTATGACATATAATCAGGGGTAACAAAGGAAATAAAGTATTACAACACTAATATATCATACCTATTTGAGAAATACAATTTGATTATAAATATGGAAGAAATTATGTAAGATTAGGTTAAAAAAAATAACCTGACCTGCTTGACTTAATCAAAAACAAATGTTGTATATGAAATAATTAGGTGTTCGAGTTCAAAGTAGAAAAGAAAAGGCTCCTTCAGAAAATTAAAAAATTAAATTATTTATATTCAGTGCTTTACAAAAGTTAAATTAAAATGAACTAGAACATGAAAATTAGTTTATGTGCTATTTATTGTTATTGCACAAGAAATTGTGTTTTCAGATCAAAAATATCAGGAATGGTCTAAGTGTAGCATTAACCGATATTCATGAGGTGTTTATATCATAAGTTCATTATATCATATGGGTGAAGTAGTGAATCCACATTCTACAAAATTATTTACCGAGAGAGAACGGTTTCTATGCACTTATTAACTAAAACTTTGACATTTATCGTTTAATTGAATTAGGTGGATTTGTATATACCCAGCTTATATTAATTTAAAGAAAACTGCAGCTCAGGGAAGGAGAATTGCAAAATCACATGTAATAATATTTAATTAACTTTAATTTAAATTAATATAATATATAGTGCATTGAAAATCCCACAACAAATGAAATTAAGGATGTTTTAATAGCATCAAATTTTAGTGTTGATATTGAAGTATGAATTTGTATTTTTTTATATTAATTTATTTTCTTTAGAATAAATATTATCCAAGAGAATGGAACAAAGATGTATTGTTTAAAGGTAGAGTTAGAGTTCATATTAAAGACACTACAACTGGAAATCCCATAAATCCAGATTTGCCTAATAGTAACATATTTATATAATAATTATTAAATAAAAAATACATATTTTTAAATAATTAAATACAGTTATAAGCTTTAATTGATGTTATAAATTATAATCCATAATTGTGAAGATTTATTTCTTAGTATTATCTTTGTTTTTATTTAAAAAAATTAATGATACAATTGTTTTAATAATTATTTATGAGGGAATTTTTAAATAAACATCAAGGAAATTAATTGTTTTTAAAAAAAATTAGAGCATTCAATATTGTTACATTTGGGGGAAATGATTCCACGGCTCAAGAGTAGAGTTCAAAAAGGTTCAGCTACTCAATCTAATATTTCTGCTGCTGGTCCAAGTGGAGAAACTTCACATACATCAAATACTAGAAACATTAACAAAAAGAAAAATAAAGGAAAGCGATAAAAATTTTATATTTCTTGTGATATATTATATTATTCATTTAAATTTCATATTGGTTTATGTTTATTCTTTAACTTAGCTGGAATTATCTTTCTTTATTTTAAAATATTTTATAATAATTATTTTGATAAATATCATTATATCAAACTATATAAATATAATTAATTGATAATTAATCTTTTATGTACACAAATCACCATTGAGTCTAATTTTTTCATACTTTTTTTAATTTGCACAAAAATAATAAACCTCCATAGTAATAAACCAAAAAATACTTCTAATCCATATTTTTCTATCCTTTTAAATTATAAAATATTCATTACGAATAATATATATTTCCCCCATCTAATAGTGATGAAAATTCTAGAATGGGCTAATGTTTTAAATATCTTAATAAGTAGTCAAATTTTTGGAACACATTAAATTTCAATCAATCTTGCATCATTTATAAAATATATATTCTGAATACATTTTTTGGAAATAGTATTCATTTCTTTTAATTTCAGCCATCTTTAATTTCCATTGAACCAGAAAAATTATGTTTATTACTAATATTGGACATAACTTCATTAGTCAACCTTATTATTTTTCTCATATTATTAATTTTCTAATTACAAGCAAAATATTGATTTGACTTCTTTGACAATCTTTAATATATTTTATATAATAGCAAAAATTAACAAATTTTGATGGTCTAGAACTAGAAGGTACAAATAACTATTTTAAAACATTAAAAATGTTTTAAAATTGATTGGTCACTTTCAATTTCATTTCTTGTTTTAAAAGATAAACTATATTATCTTCTGCAATTTTATTAAGCCATTAAAAATATTTTTTTTACTAATTACAATATTTTACGTTCTATTAATAAGTGCCCATTATGGTTGGGTAATTACTATATTTATACCCGTTTAAGCCAGTTTTTAGCCAAAAACTATCATTTTGGCCTTGGGGGTTTTTTAAAAAAAAGATAGCTCAAATTTGGAAGAAACTAATATAGATTAAAACTTTAATGTTAACGGATTTTCTCCGGCAGGCGCCTGAAGATTGAGCCGAATTAGCCGATATTTATTTATTACCTAACTATAGTGCCCATGCATGCGGCATGGTCAAATGAACATATTAACCCACTGAAAGAAAGGAAGCAGATGACATTTAATCGTTTAATCCTATTTTCATAGTGATATATTTAAAATTATTTGAACTGTGAAATTATCATGAAACATAAAAAAAATGATATTCAAAAATTACTAATTTCTTTTCTTATATTTCTTTCGCTTGTTTTGTAAATTAAAAATAACTAAAGTTTTCATCTGAAAAGTCTTTAACTTCTACTATTATATGGCAAAATAATGTTATACTTTAAAAAATATATATCGAGACAATTATTTTATAATTGAGTTCCCAAAAATTAACCAAACGGCCATTTTTCCTTATTAACATATAAGTTTTTAAAAAAAATCTAGATGATAAAATACGACTTTTTACAAACGAAGCCAGATAATTTTTCTTTCGAAATTAAATAGTTAAAGATAAAAATATTTATCTTTTAAATGTATTTAGGATATAAATACAAGATACTTTTTCAAAATGCACTAAATGATACATATTGTATTTAAGATTCAAGTATTTACGACACTGCTCAACCCCAATTAACTTAATATTTCCATTAAAAATTTTTTATAGTTATAAGTTTGTTTTTGAAATGCAGGGTTTATTTAAATCTTATATGACCAAAATTTTGAATTTGGGGGTTTATGAATAAAATTTTTATACGTTCTTATTTCGCATCAGACCGATTCAGCGAAACTTTTATCACGAAACCAATTCCGAGCATTCATTGAGAAGACAATATCATTTTCTCGCAACCGGGACCGTTAACACTCTTTAACTAATGCATTTTAGCGTTTTATAGCGAACCCTTTATGGTGAATGTCAAGATCATTACCGCTAAATAAGGAATAAATGATGAATGCATTTATTCTAAAGAAAATCAACAAGTTTAATAATAATTTACCCGCACAAATCATAAAAGTGAAATGTTTTATGGGAATTTAATTACTAATTCTCTATTAAGTAAGAAGTTGGCTCTAATGTTACCTTTATTTGATATGATTAAACAATAACTTAGCAATTTCTTCCTTAATTTGAAGAATGATATGTTTTATGTTACATCCGCCAAAAGAAAGAGAGAAGTAATGCTGACCAACTACTCAGGTGTCATTCAAACTTTTCTAAAACTGTAATGGTTTCGATTGATGTTTCAAATTTTGGCAACACTCGTCTCATTTTTTTTGCTTAAAATTTAAAATTTTGAGCAAAAAATATTTGAAGATCAAAAAAATTGAAGAATTGAGCATGCTCAAGGAAGATTTATGCGATGTTTTTGTAAAATCTTCTATGATTTTCCCTTTAATGTCTTTTTTATTTAGATTCTAAAAAATAAAAAAAATTTCTTAGAAGTTTATTTATTTCAATGACATATACATTGATTTATTTAGATTTTTAAAAATAAAAAAAAATTATCTTGATGTTTTTTTAATAAAAATAGCATAAAACAAAATGGAAAATCATTTTAAAAATTTGAAGGATAAATAAATGATATTATTATATTATAAAAATACCCAATTCATAGAAGATTTTTATACAAAAAACATTCTTAATTGAGCATGCTAAAAAAAATTTTTACAAAAAAACCTTCGAATATTTTGATATTCAAAAGCGCAAAATCTTTGAATATTTTCTGAATTTTGAGTAAATGTTAAACCCTGATTCTGATATGTAATCATATGTGGTTCATATTTTGTTTTTTCTAAATAATATAATTTTAACCATTACAATACCTGGTTTCAAAAAAAAAGCTTTTACAATTGATATTATAAAAACTTATGCTCCAAAAAAAGGGATAATTATAATATTATAAAATCCTTGAAATATTAATTGTGAATGAATTAAACAGTCTTGAGATTTGAAAGGTATAGTTATTTAAGTCAATAAGCTTCCTATGTAGTCACAACGCCGAATATTTATTGACTTATTTAGATGTTTTATTATTAAATATTTCATGGTCGTGGTCATTTATTTTCTTTAAATTAATACTTAGCTTTATATTCATAAAAAAAAGTAATTTATGCACGTGTTGCCCTATATATTTTTTTTGTATTTTAAAGAATAAAAAGAAAACTTACTCTAAATAATATAAGATTTTCGGTCCCATATTCAGGAGAGAAAACATTATCTTACATCTTCCCTCTATAAAGTTTATTAAATTTATTGACTAAAAACTTCTTTTTTTTAAATATGGGGGAGGTGAGTAATAAAATCAATGCAACGGCATCATTCATTATATTTATTATCTCGTATAACTTTGGCGGAATATTTGTTTAGAACTGGTCTCGATCCTTTTGCATGAATTAGGTTTAAATTATTGAAGGTCACGGTCCGGTCTTTGGTCCGGACTGGACCGATATCCTCGGACCGGACCGGACCACGGTCCTTAAGAAAAAGATCGATCCAGACCGTGGTCCTAAATAAAAAGACCGGTCCATTTGTTTTATCATTTTATTAAATGTAAGAGTATTATATAAACAATAAAATTTATCCAATGGTATTGAAGAAAGTGATTTTGTGCTTGTGGAGGGCATATTAAAATTAAGAGTAGATTGTGTTTTTGAGATATTTTCATTTTCATCATTAGAAGTATTTATTTTATGTTTTATCAGATGTCTGCTTAAGGTACCTAATTATTTTATTAAGAATAAGGTTAAGTTATTTTGACAATGAATTATTCAGACAGTTTTTTAAGAAAAAATAGAACTATATAAATAATAACCAAAATATTTTAATAATAATACTGCTTATTTTGATTAATTTATTGCTTAAAAAATTATAAACAATTATTTTGTTACTTGTTGCTGACGATACATTAAATTTGGTACTGCAGTGAACACAAACTCTATGTTTTTTATTGTGACTATAAGTAAAATGTTTCTTGGACAAACTTATGGTTTTCATATTGTAAAATAAAAATTAACAAAATCTAAAATAACTCATCTAGAAAAATATCGTAAAATAAAATATAAAAAAATTATATTAATTGAATAGTTAAGCAAACTTAAATAATAATAAAAGATCGGTCCGGACAGCGGTCTGGACCGTAAAAGATAAAAAGACCGGTCCGGACCACGGTCCTCAAAAAAAGATCGGTCCGACAATTGGTCCCTAAGACCGATAGGACCAGGACCGTTGACCTTCACTAGTCTAAATATTGGTGAAACCAGAATGAAATTAAATGGCTTTTTAGATAATTTAAAGTCTCTGAAGATAACTTAAATTATCATAAGGTATTTATAACCCATCCTTTACTTGAATACAGCCCCATAAATCTAAATTTAAATTATTTATAAAAAATTTTGACCCTTTTTTCAACGAGTGTCCGAAGACCTGCTATGTTTCCGAGCCAAGCCATGTACTCTAATCTATTAGTGAAGAACTCTACTTAAAATTGGATCTTCCCTAAGAAAATTCATGATCACGCCCCTTAAAATAATTCTAATAACCTTAGAGATTGATGAATTTCTTTAAAATTAGAATTTAATTCCTTATGATATAAAATAGCATTTTTTCAAATGGTTCACTCTTAACCTTTATTGATATAAAACGATTTTTACCAGGTATCATATGACTCTTAATTAATATTATGAAATTATCGAATAATATATAAAATAGTCTCAAAACACTTCCAGCCTTTATAATATTTGTATTAGATAAAACGCTCTTTCCCTGGTCAATTTTTTTGCTATTCTTGCTTGGATTTAGCGTAAAAAATTATTCTTGTTTTTAAGGTAAAAGAATAGCGAGAATGTGTTGTTTCAAATTTATTTTTCAATAGCTTAATGATTTCAAATTCATCGTTAAATTAGAATTATCTTCTGAAAAAAAATTATATAAACATATTTCTTAATTTCTTTATATATAATGCAATTTATATAGTTAATGATTTATTCTGGTTAAGGAGTACATTTGTTAGGCCTTCACAACGTATATGTTTATCCAAATTGTGCGAATTTTAGGAAGGAAGTAAATATATTACATACAATACTCCACCCACCTTACCTTTTGCTTAAATTAAAGACCTGCAGGCTCGGCCCTAAGCCCTGCCCGGGAACATTGCTCTTGTCGTACTTTAATTTTTTTAAATATACCCAGACCAGGCCTTAAATATTATTTTTAAATACCAGGCCTGGCCAGGCCGGGCCTAAAAATTTTTTCCTAAATGCCCGGGCAGGGTGAAATATTTTAAATCGTTATTATTACATATAAAAATTAAAAATAAATATAATATATTCTAAAAAAATCCGATTGGGCTATGCAAATGCTACCTCTGCAGGTCTCTGATTAAAATACAAAATATTTTAGCTTATATATTAAAATTAATGATTTATCAAATACTTAATACAAATTTTTATAATTAACTTTAAAATGCCATATTTCCTAAATATAAACTAGGCCTAACTTGAAATTTTGCATATTTATTTATTAATTCTATATCTATATATTTAAAAAAAAATAGAGAAAAGAATACCGATTTGATTTTAGGACCATTTCTGGTTTTTGACATTTTTTTATATAAAATTAAAGGCCTATCATTAGGTTATATAAATAAATTTAAATAACGCTTCTAGCTCAATTATATTTAAAATTAAAGGGTGAACATTTTACCTAAAATGCTAGAGGCCCATATTTAGCATATGTTTGGAGTTAGAGGCTAAAATTTTATTTTCTTAGTTATAATATATGCAAATTCTAGTAAAAATTTTAGAAAAATCTGAGGAGATAGGGTTGAAACTCATGATGATTTGTCATCGAAATCACCATACATATGTATATTTATGGTTCTTAAAAAGCCTGATTCGAAGCCATTTTATAAATCTAGCTGATTAAGATTTTCGCCAAAATAATATTATGTAAGCCTCGAGATTTGGTAAATAGAGTCCAAACTTCTCTGCCATCTATGAGAAAAATCTCTAGGCATACACGTTATATTATTTTGACTAAAATCTTAATGTGGTCATTTTTAAAAATTTATGCGAATCGGGCTTTTAAACAACCCCTACCTATGTCCATTTCCGAAAATTTATGTAGAAATGGCACCCATGGTTTTCCTATGGTTTAAGCTGGGCTTATATTGTTTATAAATGGATTATATTTCGATGTATAATTTTATTATACAAAAAAGATTATTAGATTATCGGGAATTGATAAAACTATAGATATAAAATAATAATTTAACGATTAGGGATCTTTGAAATATGACTCTACTTTATTATTTAATATAAGTAATTGATTTATTAACTGAGATCTATATTTGTATATCTTATTTTTCAAGATTTTGACTATGATTATAACGACGAGTACAATATGAAATTAAAATACAATAATATTTTTAACATTTTGATGATTAATATTTAATTTATATAGACATAAGATAAGGTAGGATAACATATCCTTATATAATTTGAAGATATAAAAATAATTTTCTTTAAAAAAAATAAATACTATTAATCTAAATAATTATAAATTTCAAGATTTTCTCTTATTTTTTTTCGAATGTATTATAGAGGAATCAATTTTATTTGTCTGACTACGAGTAGACTTACCATTTCCTGAATGTTTAACGTCATCAACAAGGTCATCATCCTCATGGGATTTAAGGACAGACTTCGCTCCGATTTTCAAATTCGCGTAATATTGTAAAGCCCTAAGTCGACACTTCTCGTGATCGACGATAGGCATAGGATAATCCTTTACGAGCTCTATTCCACACTTGTCCAATATAACGCGAGGACATTTCCAGGGTTGATGAATATATTTCAATGGCACTTTTGCAAGGGCTGGAATCCACTTTTTGACGTACAACCCCTCGGCATCAAATTTTTCTCCTTGCAAAGTAGGGTTAAAAATCCGAAAGTAAGGAGAGGCGTCGGCGCCTGTTCCGGCTACCCATTGCCATCCGGATGAGTTGTTAGCGAGATCCGCATCCACCAGGGTATCCCAGAACCATGCGGCACCTACCCTCCAGTCTATGAGGAGGTCTTTGGTGAGAAAAGAAGCAGTGATCATTCTAACCCGGTTGTGCATGTAACCCTCGTGCCATAGTTGCTTCATACCAGCGTCAACTATAGGATAACCCGTGAGACCCGATTTCCAGGCCTTTAAGAATGGTTCGTTTTGGCTAGGTGACCATTGAAATCGATCAAATTCGGTCCGGAAATTTTTGGATGGAAATTCGGGAAAATGGTGCAGAAGATAGTAAGAGAATTCCCGCCAACCGCACTCAGCCAGATACTTTTCCTTGCCCTGCGAACCCTTGAGATCAAAATTGCGTGATGGAAAAATGGCATGCCAGATTTGCCAGGGTCCAATCTCACCCAGCGCTAAATGGGGTGATAGTCTGGAAGTGCCAGTTGTCAAATGTGGGTTATCTCTGTTGGAATCGTAATTTTTGATTCCATCGGACAAGAAATCCCGTAATCGTTCAAGGGCTCGAAGTTCGCCGGGTTTCCAAGTGTCTCTTAGCCCGCCAGCCCAATCTGGGTGAGTAGGCAACAAGGATAGGTGGCTCAACGAATCGGATTTAATGACGTGTTCGATAGATGCTATGAGTTTGGAGATGTGTTTAACATTGAAACAAGGGCGGTCGTAAAGCTTGCGAGGCTGTGATCCTCTTTGAAGGTGAAAAAGATATTCTAAACAGGTTCTCCAATAAGGCGTGAAAACCTTGAAATAGCCGCCGGTTTTATTGCGAATCACGTCGGGTTCGAGTAAGAGAGAAGCATTGAAGGATCGAACAGTGACACCCATACCTTCTAGCATTTCAGTTATAAGTTTGTCTTGCTTTACGTAGTGGGGCTCGTAGACCTTGTTAAAGTAGAGGGATTTTACGTGGTCACCTTTGAATATGGATTTGAGAATAGGGATCGGGTCACCATTTTTTATCAAGAGTTTCATTTCCGTAGCATCAATTCCATTTGCATTCTCGTTGATGGATTTTGAGAGGGATGCTAAGCTGTGATGCAGCCACCATTTTTGTGCCGAGCCTATGGGCCAAGCTTGTTTAACTGTCTCATCTTGGTATATGTACAAACATATAACATTCTCAGAATCTTTGACTGAGTGCCAAAGACCAGGATTATCGTGAAGTCTCAGATCCTTTCGGAACCAAAAAATCGAGTTGAATTTGATCATTTCTTACCACTTAGGGGAATATGGCATGTTTTCTAAAAAAAATTAAAAAATTATTTTCTTCTCTCATTAGAGAAATGTACAAAATCAATATATCTTGAAATGTCTTACATCAGCAAAAAGCAATTGTAAATTTTTTAATGGTTTAATTTAAATTACATTTCTGTGTCAAGCAAATATACAGATATTGTTAACCATTGAGTAGCATCGGTTGAAAAAAAAACAAAGCAAGGCTTTCGTAAGTGACGAACCTACGTTTTAAACTACTATATCTCAGGTTATTAAATTATTTTTCATCAAAACAATTATAAAATATATTTTAAGAAAATTCACCGATCATATACAATTATTTTTTAAACTTGATCCATTAATAACAATTTTATAAGATATATTATATCAATTAGTTAACAATAAAAATTTAAATCTTAAAAAAAACATCTTGAAAAGATTTTATGAATGAAAATTGCAAAAGATTTGCCTATAAAAGATTTTTTAAAAACAATTGACATTTTTTAGGGAAATCTCTGTCAGAAAATCTTAAACATTTTTTTCAAACCCTGTTAATAGCTTAATTAAATCAAGTTCTATACCAAAATTACCCAATTATACTGAGATTAGAGCAGGGCATAGACAGATCCAAATTTGAATCCGTCTAGGAAGGACATTCTCCCAGATTTGATCGAATTCTAATTTTAAAATTTTTTTAAGGATTGGATCGTATCTTGACAACACATTTTTTAGCGTTTAGAATTTTTCAGCTTTATTGCACTTTTTTTTAAAAAGGTTCTATATAAAAAAAATGGGATTGACTCATGGCAAATTTTGAGCATTTTGGATTGGTTCGAACTCGGATTTTTGAAAGATATTGTCGGTATAAATTATTTTTCAAACTTTTCTCGGATCGCGACGGATTAGAAAAAAATAAGTCCGGTAGAGGACTCTAGAAATTATTATTTAAAATTTTATGGGTTGATCAATTGATTTTTTTTTAAAAATACTTGATATCTCAAAAAGTATTTATCAGAAGTTTCATATATGTTGTTTAACCAAATTATTGAAGAGTTGTATGTAATAACGTTTGTTTAATTTCTAGTGTTTCTATAAACTCCTCTATGCTCTTAGCGATTAATAAATAAGCCAGATCAGCAAATATATTTACTAAATTAAATAATTAAATTATCATTAAAGTTATCTGGTTAAGATAACAAGAAAAATGAGAATTAAAGCAAAATATTAGGATTTTTAAGAAAAAAAATGAAAATATAAATGTGAACAATTTTCTTAGAATCCTTATTCCAGAGAATTACTATCTAATTTAAAGTAACTTTGCCAACCCTCTATTTTCAACGTTACTAAAATTAACTTAATAAAACCTGTTTTTAAAGTAAAAATATCAGGGACCTGCTGAGGTACCTTTTGAAAAGCCCGGCATGGATTTTCTAAAAATATATATTATTTATTTTTATAGCTAATAATAACGATTTAAAATATAGGACCCTGGTATTTTTTTATAAAAATTTTTTTAAACCCGGCTCAGGTATTTTAAAAAATTTTTCTTAGGGCCCGACCCGCTTATATTTAAAAAAATTAAAATACGGCCCGCCCCAACAAGTCTTTTAGAAATATAGAAAAATAAAAATATCAAGCTCCAACACGACCAGCATCATACCCAAATGCCATTTCATATATATATATTAAATAATTCTGTTTAATTAAAATTAACATAATATTTTTATCAGTAATTTTGTGTGGTAAATATTATTAACTTTTGAAATGCAACTAGTTACAGTTACTATTAATATAGTTCATAAAAAGATAACTAGTTACATTTTTAGATGTAACGAGTTACTAGTTACAGTTATATTTCAAAAGTAACTAGTTAAATTACAAGTTATTTTATAAATCATATACAAAACCCATCATTTTTTTATTTAATATAAAAATAATTACGGTTTACAAATCTTAATCAAAGATAAAATATACAATTTATTATATAAAAATAAAATTACACTGGAAAAAAAAATAGGGGATAATAAATTTACAATGAAGTAAATCGGTTCTGTCAAAAAATAAGCACCCCTAGACTGAACGTTCTACATAAAAGCTTGGTGTTAGGGCAAAATTATATTTAATAAAAGGTATAATTTTATCTCTTTTAATTAGCTAAGATTCTTACATTAGAATAATTTTGTAAATAATTTCACAAAATTTTATCTTTATGATATGGCAATGTTATATGCTTTCTTATAATAATTCTATAAAAAGATCTTGTTGGATTCTTGTGTTGTTACTAAGTTTAATCTATTACAAAAACATTATCAGTGCTTGGGAATACAGTAAAAGTCATTTTAATGATTAAGTTGGTTTAATTTAATTAATTTATATAATATTTAGCTAAACAAAAATCTGTTAAACATACATTTAGCTAAAATTTTGTGCAATTATTTAAGACAAGTTATATGAAAATAATTAATATTGCCTCTACTCCAAGTCTCCTTTATGAAAAATCTAAAATATTTTTTGAAACCCCAAGATATTTTAATTTAAATCTGTTGTTTTGGTAATACTTGTAGAAAGGAATGGTACAATTACTATTTTATAATTTTAATGCCATCTTTATTAAATGATGAGTTAGGATTCATATTAAATCCTGTAAATGGGCATAGCCAAAAAGGGGGGGGGGGGCAAGAGAAATTTTTCTCTTTGGAAATTAGTCAGTTCTTTTAAATATCATTTTAAGCCAATAAAAACCCCAATACCCGCCACCACCCAACCCATATCCAAAAATTTTATTTAACCCGTTACTGGTTAACGGTGCATATATGCACCACCTCCTATATACCTTATTTTAACATAGTAGTTTTTTTTTAAAAATAATAAAAAAGATTTTTATATAGTTCAGACATTGTACTTCAAAACTGGAAAAGAAAAATATGAAAAAAATATTTTTTTATGCCCCTAAGAAACCCTCAAACTTTGCGAATTTATGAGGTCTAAAATGCAAAATTTTCTAAGTGATCTCACGAGCATATTATAAAATTATTTCGATGAAAACTAGTGTGTATATATTCTTTATAGATATATAAATATTTATCAATCATTTTTGAATTTTTAAATAATTAATATTTTAGTAGGTAACCACATAAAGTTGACTGGTGCATATATGCACCGTTAACCATCTAGCAGTATATATTATTTAAAAAAATTCAAACAAATGAAATTTAACATAATGAATTATAATTTTTTATATTATACTTAAAACCACTACCGTCACTAAGGGTGGGAAGGGGAGGGGTGGGTGGCTCGAGCCCCTTAAGAATTTTAAAAAAAAATTTTATACCCAAAAAAGACCTTTTGAAAATAATTTAAAAAAATTTTTTTCCCCTGAGATTAAATCGAATAATATATTGTTCCTATTATAATTTTTTATCCCGATCAAATTATATGAAATTATTAGGTTCATAAATATTCAAAAGTTTAAAATTATTTTTAGCCTCTTCCTTTCTGAAGATTTTATTTTATTTATATAAAATATTATGCACCTGTTTTGTCAAAATCAAAATTATCAAAATAATAGATGACTAATAAAAAAATCAAGATTCTACGAAAATAATTTGTCTAGATATTTAATTTTTAATAAATTTTTTTAATGAAACGTTTTCTAACAATTGAACAAGCGCTTGCTCAACTTTTTGAAGAGGAACCAATTGAAGAAAGAGATATGGTTATAATTCCGCCAAACCCCTCTGCAGTTAGTGATGAAGAAGATTTCGATGAAAATGACTTAACAAATGTCGGAGTTTTGCCTTCAGATACAGCTGGAGAATTGGAGATTCATAATTCAGTTGATGACGACCTTCCAGAACCATATTCTACAAGAAGCTATTCTCGAATTTCTCACAATTTAAAATGGAGAAAAACGGATGCAATATATTCTTCAAGCCCTTTCAATGGAGAAAAGGAAGATGTAATAAAACTTGAAAATGATTTACATGGTAAAAGTCCATCAGATATATTTTGTTTAATTTTCGACGAAGACTTATATTCCCTAATTGTAGAACAAAGTAATATTTATGCTAAACAAATGAATAGACCTAACATATGCATAACCATCCAAGATATTCAGAGATTTATTGGAATTCTATTATTTACTGGATATCATTCTCTCCCACAAGAAAGAATGTACTGGTCTAATGACAGCGATATTTCTATTCCAATAATCCGGGATACAATGACCCAATTACAATTTCGAAATTTGAAATATAATATCCATTTGGCAGACAATACTAAAATAGATATACATGATAGATTTTATAAAGTTAGGCCTTACATTAATATATTGAATAATAAATTTCAGCAATTCGGAATTTTTAAACATCATTTATCAATAGATGAACAGATGATACCATATCGAGGAAGACATTCTTGCAAAATGTTCATAAAAGGAAAACCAATTAGATTCGGATACAAGTCTTGGATATTGGCCTCTTCCGACGGTTACGTATTCTCATTTGATATATATCAAGGGAAAAGCGAAAATAAATATGAATATGGATTAGGTGGAAATGTAATCATAAAATTATTAAAGGCATTGCAAAAACCAAATTATCATAAAATATATTTTGATAATTTCTTTACATCATTTAAACTCTTGTCATACTTAAAACAAATGGGATATTTTGCAACTGGAACTGTGAGGGACAATAGACTAGAGCATTGCCCAGTTGAATCTATAAAGGTTGTAGCAAAAAAAGAAAGAGGATATTATGATTATAGGTTTGAAAAATTAAACGAAATATTTGTAGTTCGTTGGAATGATAATTCGGTGGTGACCGTTGCATCGACATGCCACACTATCTCTTTGCTTTCTAATGTTTCAAGGTATTCTAAGAAAATATCTTCTAAAATAAAAATTCCTCAGCCAAATATGGTAACTGCTTATAACAAACACATGGGTGGAGTTGATCTATGTGATAATCTAATATCTACATATAGAATAAAAATAAGAGGAAAAAAATGGTGGTGGCCAATATTCACCAATTTTATTGATGTAGCTTTGGTAAATTCATGGAAAATCTGGAAATTCGTGAATCGAGATGACAAGAAGAGTTTGCTTGCATTTAGACGAGAAGTTACTAACTACCTCCTTCGAACGCCAGTAAAAATTGAAAAAAATTCAAGTACAGGTCACGCCAGCCAGTTTGCATTACAGTGTGAAAACCCTATTGATTCATCTGGACATTATTTATCCAAAATTATAGATGGAAAAAGACGAAGATGCAGATATTGCCATACGCACTCAAGATATATGTGCCAAACATGTCAAATCGCACTCCATATTAAATGTTTCAAGGATTTTCATAATATATAAACATTTTCTCGTTTTTATTATAAATTACAAAAAAAGAATAAAGATATTTGTTGTTTTTTTGATCTTATAGTATTTTATATAATTTTTATCTTTTTTAACCTCTTAATGGTTAACGGTGCATATATGCACCAGGCTAGATTTTCTATTTAGGATTATTTTTTTTGGCTGATTTTTTTAGAATATCATATTTGAGCATTAATCAATATAATTTGAAAAAATTGAGCATTTTTATCCACTAGAAAAATCTTGACCATTAATGGGTTAATGTATTTAATAAAAATAAACAATATTTAAGTGTATTAAGTCAATTATTTTGTTTAGAATACTAAAATTTATATTATTAGAAGAGGAAAAAAAATGACAATATTTATGCAAGTTAGCAACTGTTTTAAATAAACTAAATTTAAATTTAATCATTTTAGGCCCAAGCCTATTAAAAAAAAATTCAAAAATCCAGGCCCACTATGTGGGCCATGGGCTGACCCATGAAGGTTTCTACTACTCAGATCCCTGCTTAGTCCTATAAGAACCCCTATGGCAAGTCTTGATGATGCAGATAGGAAAATAAATAAACTAAGGAATGTTAAAAGATAGGATTAAAAAATATTCCTAAAGAAATGTCAAACTTTTATTAGCCTCTTAGCTAAAATATTCAAGAGACCACTTGGTAAACCATAAGATATTAAAAGAAGGGTTGCAAACCTAACTGGCCATATAGATGACTAACTTTTATAATAATAGGTTTATCATTTTATTAAAAATGTTTATAAAAAAAATTTGTATAAAATTTTGCAATTTGATGTTTTTTTTAATTTAAGTTTTATATAAAAATGTGGTGATATTAGGGTTTGGGTAGTAAAAATATAAATTGTTGTAATTAATGTAACTTTTAGATTTATATACTTAAATCTTAATGAAGGACTTTAACTATAAGGAGAATTTGTATGCCCAGCTCTAACAAATAAATTTCCATCTCTAATAATTGTGTTTAATTATAAATATTTAAAGTTAATTTAATTATAATAAAAAATAATTTGCTAATGATATATATTGCTGAATATTCCTTGAAATATATACATTCACCTTAAGAGTTGGTTAAGTGTTTTTAATTCAAAAATTATTACTTTTTTAAGTATCTCTTTTCTTCTTAAACTAATCTCTTGGGTGAGATTAGGGTTAAAGCTATGGGTTGGTTTAATCAATAATAAAAATGGTCTAATAAAATTGGGCAGTGGCAATCCAAAAATTTTTTTAATGAATGAATGCTATAGTAACCAACATAGCTGATTAGTTTTATACTAGAGAAAACTTGAATAGGATGTGGATGCGATCAGCGAAAAATTACATAATGTGAAGCGAAATAATTTTGTTAAAACTTGGAATTGATAAGTACTAATATTTATTTCGGGATAAATATTTTTATTTTTTAAAAAAAATTAAAACTCTATATATTTTTCTGAAAATAAATTCTAGAAGCTAGATATTTTAAAGTATGAATCGAATAATCGTTTTAGGTATTGGGCTGAGGAGCTAAATTTAAAAGGTTTAAATATATGTATTGACATAGTATGAACGTGTATTTTTAGTAGCTAATTATCTGACTGTAACAGGAAAAAATGCTAAATAAGAAATTAATCATTTATTTTATTAAAATTATAGATAATAAATATCATTAATTGAGACAAATATTGTTAGTTTTTAATAATAAATATGATGACAGTTGTCAATCATTATCATATGTAACGTATATATAATATAAAAAATCAAGTTAAATATTTTATTCCAAGTTTTACATTTAAAAAATAAGTGTAAGTTAAAAAAAACTAAGAGATAATGTTAAAATTAGTTAGCAATAGTGAGAAGTTAACTATAACCAATTATGATTGACGGCATTATATCATATAGGATTCTGGCTAGTTATCTATATTGCGACTAATTTTTCAAGTTTAGCATGTATTAAATTATTTTAAAAAAATTCGTACAACCTTGCTTAATTTTTTTTACTTGTCCGCCTTGGCTGAATTCATTGAAATATATAAATTAATTATGATTTAAAATAGTTTTACATTGAACATAATAGATTTTTTATATTACAAAAAAATATTGGTATCATGTTTCTTGCAAAAATTAAAAAATATATCATTTCATAAAATTTAAGCCTATCCCAGTCTGGTTATTTTTTAGGCCTGAACAAAAAATTTTATAAAAGTATTGTCTAAACTTTTGTAGATCTCTAATTGTGGCTAAACTTTTAAATTTGGTCATTATCTGACTATAAATGAGGCTTTACTATAGTTCAAAAAACATAATTATTGATTTTATCATTTTAAATAGAGAGATAAATTATAATTTTTATTCAAAAATCATAAATAAGGTTTATAATTTAAAAAAAAGGTTACCATATTTTTATAAAATGAGAATATAAATATTTTATAACTTATTAACTGGTTTTTATAAAAATATTGAATAAAGTATCTATCTATAAATGTCTTCAAAAGCTGTATTAAGAAAGCAATTGAAAACAAAAATTTTAGAGTTGTCAAAATGTGAAAAAATGAATCAATCTGAATTTGTATACAATAAGGTATTGAATATTAAAAATTTGTCCTAAAATCTTTTGCAAGGTTTTATACCATCCAAAATATAAAAAGTGTACAAATGTGGCAATTTTCCTAAGTATGCCAGATGAAATTGATACAACTCCAATTCTTAAAGATATATTTAATACAAATAAAAAATGTTTTATCCCCTTTTATTCAGTAAAAAATAATATATGATAGATAGAGCATTTGCTAAACTTTATTTCTAGGAAGTTCCATCTAAATTAATGAAAATGCTGCCAATTTATTTGTGGAATGATTACTTAAATTTATCCTTAACAAAATGGAATATTAAACAACATTCAGAAATACAAGGCAATGAATCTTTGGACATATATGATAAAAATGAAGGCACGTAATTGTAGAAATATTTATATAATTATATTTTAGAATTAGATTTGATGTTTGTGCCTGGTTTGGCCTTTACAAATAGTGGACTACGTTTAGGAAGGGGGAAAGGCTACTATGACAGATATTTAGCATATATAAAACAAAAAAATATTACCAATGGTGTTAAATTACCTTATATAATTGCCTTATGTTATAAAATATCTATCTTAAGCTATATTCCTACGGATGCACATGATATGATAGTTGATGAAATTATATATCAAAAATAAACTTTTAAATTAGTAAAATTATAAATAAAGATTGACACATAAAATTCATTTTATTAGTAATAATAAATATAATACTATAAAGTAAGATGTTTTCTAGCTATTGATAATGCTTTTTTTTCAAATGATGTAGATATTATGGGAGTATTTACTTCATAAAAAGGATTAAGCATGAACTATAAATTATTAATGAATGTTACATATCTATAATTTACCTTGATGTATATTTCATAAATGTCATAGAAGAAATTCTTTATACCATCCTCAATTTTAAGATCATGTAACATCAAAAATTTTATCTCTATAATTATAGTTATTTATATACATATTATCTCATAACTTCCAGCTGTAACAAATGCTGAAACAAGCCATTCATTAAATTTATCTATTGTTTTCAAATACATGTTGTTTGTAGCCCACATGTGTTCATCAACAAGATCCAGAGCTGCATGAGCTATAAATTGATTTAAATGCCTTTGATCCTCCTGCAAAATTAATTGTAAGAATATCCTTATATATTCGAACTTTGTATTCAGAAGTAGTCGGATTGCATTTAAATTCTAATTCAAAGAGGGGATTATCATAATGTCCAACTATAACAAAATAATAATTCCCTGACATTTACGGGTAATTATGTATACCGTTGAACGTTATTGTTAAAAATGGGTTTAATTGATTGAAATTTCACATTTAGAGCGACGGCAATTGGGCGAAGTTTACAAAAATAATGTAAATCATATCGTTGCGAATTCGGGTTAACTATGATACAGGGTTAGTTAGCCTCAATTTTATTCTTATATATAAATAATGTATGTATCACTAATCCAATACTTCTGGGTTCGAATCCAGAGAACTATGTTTTTTTCTGAGGTTAAATTTAAATGTCGCATGGTGCGATATTGAATTAAACAAAATGTCATACGATCGAAATAAATAGTTTATTTATATTTAAAAAATAGTCATTTTCGAAGAGCGTCTCTGGCCTAATCAGATGAGTGCATGTATCTCAATCCTAAGGTCCTGGATATTAACTTTTTTCTGAAGCCATGGCCATGTGACACGCCATTTTGGCATAAAATATAGGGTCTCGAATGCTTTAATATTTGAATTTGGTCCGCTAAATGCATATTTTATTGTGAGAAGGAATTATTTTACTTCGCTTACATACGTAACATAAATGGCGCCCTCAGCTGCTTTTCTTTATAATTATTTATATGTATATTATTATAGAAAAAAATGATAAAAAACTAAAATATTAAAATAAGTATATAAAAATATGTAAAATTGCTAACCCTTTAAAGTCCTGTGAGCTAATTTGACATCATCATATTGCATGTTATTTTTTAACGTTTATCAAAGATTTAATTTAACATTTTAAAATAAATATAGAAAGTATACAATCTATTTTTTCAATTATCCAATCTATTTTTTCAATAATCAAAAAAAAATATGCTTTTGTTTCTATTTTATGATCACGTAACTTTTGACTATATTTCCGTTTCGATTTTTTCTAATTTACTTGATTTTACATATTATTTAATTTAATTGAAAAATTCTGAAAAGTGTTAATTTTATAAAGAAGACAAAATTTTCAAGTAAGACATCATGAATTTATATTTTTTTTAAATTTTAATAATTTTTGTAAATATAATTTTAAAATTATGATCCCAAATTAATTCATTGGGAATTTATTAGTTATTTAATTAACATTGAATTTATATATTTTATTTTTATAGTTGTTAAATAAAATAATTATAATTGAAGGTGATATTTCGGAAACAGATATTAATGATAGTGAGGACAATTTAAATCATCATATTGACAATATGGATATAGATTCATCCATAAATGCACCCCATATAGATCCATTAGGTTGCAATCGAAAAGCGATCGCGATCTCAAGAAAAGGGGAGAGGTGACTACAAAACTGATATTAATAATAATATGATAATTGTCAAATGGTTTAAAAACAAATTTCATGTTATATCATCCTTCAATAGTATCGACCCAATAGAAGATGTGAGGCGATGGTTCTTGGCGGGAAAAGAAATTTATTCAGATCCCTAGACCTTGTATTTTAAAAAAATATAATGAAGGAATGGGAGAGATTTACATTAAATGCTAGTGGAATGCTACAGAGTAGATATCAAAGGCAGAAGGTTCTATCTTCAAATAATATTTTATTTAATACCTGCATTGTGAATGTGGTTATTGTATCGAAGACATTTACTTTAAAAAAAATGAAAAATCTTTTATAAAACTTTTTATTTTATTCTCAAATAGTTACTGCTTTATTAATGGTAGGTAAAATTAGAAAAAGAAAAATACAAAAAGGATCTAAGTTACCTTAGATAATATTAGACGTTAGATACGATAATATAGAGCACTGGCCAGAAGCTTCCAACACTCGAAAAAGGTGTAAATTATGTGTTAGCGCATATTCAAGGAAAAGTGTGAAATTTATTTATGCTTTAACCAGTATAGAAATTGTTTCAAAACATTTTATAATAAATAAATAAATATTTTTTTATATACATGCATTGAGCTCAATTGTGTCAAATTGTATCATTATTTATTTTTTTTATACACTATGAAATAAAAGTCGAAATAAAAATTTTACTTCCTAAGTGTATATAAATGAAGATTTTTTATGAAAAAATATTTTAGTTTTATTTTAAAAAGTCGAGCTTTAAAGTTCATATAATAAATATATATATATTATAAGTATCGAAGGCTCTAAAAAGAGCTTAATTTAATTATGAATATGTACCTAAAAAATAAGTATAATTGTGTTTAAAATTTTTTAGTTGAAGTTTTTGTTTAAGGAAAATATGTAAGCTGTGAAAAATTGCCGTTAGTTGATATGACTATTGGCTGAAATGTAAAGTTATTTAATTTTGAATATTTATTAAAAAATTTTTCCCCACAAGTAAGATGGTTCGAATTAATTGATGAAGAAAAGGAGGAGATGCAGGTTGCGTCCCAAATAAGGGATTTCTAATTGGATCAGGGGGTGGCGGTTAAACCGCCGGGTCTGAGGCCGTTTTGTAATGAGAGGTTGGTAGGTTCAAAAGGATGTTGGGTATTTTCCCCTTATTAAAAGCGTTATGGATGATTTTATTAATTGCTTTATGCCGGAGATGGCGACCTTGGCTGCGGGTGCAGTTTAGGCCGTGTCTGGCGTTAAGTAGAACGGGTACGCTTCATTGGTGGCAAGTGTGTGAATGTGTAAGCGAAGCATCCAAGTCTAAATCCTATAGTGACTCTCAGTTGGTCATTGATTAAGGGATCATCTTAGGTTTCGCTCGAGACATTCATGCGTGCCGTATTTATCGTTGAAATGTAATAATTATATATCGCTAATATCGGTAGGGTTAGGACTATTTTGTAATTTCTTTATTAGGGGTTCGATGATAGATTTAGAGATTTCGGTTGGAAATATATAACCGTCTGAGGTAAGTTAATTCCATCTTTCAATTGCTACTGTTAGAAGATCATCTATAAGAGTTATGAATGATGAAATCGCAGAATTGAGCGATAGGCGATTTGAGATAATTAGAGATAGGGAAAGTAGTTCTAAGGGGATCAAGTTGATACCACCAGGTTTAGCGGGTATTTGGGCTATGTACCAATTAAAGCCTGATAATGAAAGGTTATCCTTTCTATAAAGGTCTTTAGGCGAATATTGTGTTAAATGAAAAATTTTGAGGAGGTGAATGAGGAGGATGAGTGGAAGAGATGCGAGATTTTAGGAAGGTATAAACACCTTTTTAATAAGTAAAATAGCTGATGGAATGTGGTTGAACTTTTCTAAGTTTTGCATCTCAGGAAAGTTTTTATCGATAATTTTTTCGGATATATTATTATTGAGTAATGGGAGCTCAAGAGTTGGATCTCTTCTTTTTCGATAATAATGTAACCTTTAAATAAATCTAGGGGAATCTCAAGGTTGAGGAAGCATATTTCAGTTTTAGTTTTGTTTAATTCTAAACCAATTTTAGAGCATTGCTAATTTGATGTGGATTACCGCAAAGGGTGCCATCATCTAGGTACCATAGGTTAAGGTCTAGATCAAAATTATATTTAAGATCTTTCATCATATTGTATCATGTATAGCTTTGCAGAAAAAAATAGGGCCGAGAATGCCGCCCTGTTGTACTCCCTCTTCGGAATATATAACGCTACCATTAAAAATGGGGGTTGTGCTATTGTCAGCGTCTACATGAGCGGGAGGGGTAGGAACAGTTTGCATCCTATTTTTTTGAGAGGGGTAGGCTGCTTTAATGGGGGTAAGATAAATTTCTTGGGGGATTATCCATTAAATTTTGAGATGAAATAGAACAAAATTTATTGTTGTAAAATTAATACTTTTATCATAGAATTATAGTAATACAATTCATCGACCAAATCTATATATTGCAAACAATCATACAAATTGTTTTCCAAATAAAACTTTCTGCTATCCTTTTAAATGTAATTTAAAAGGTTTAAATATTTCAGCAAGCTCATAATGCCATAATAATTAATTCATTGTAAATAATGGAGGTTTTAATTGAATTTATTATATAAAAAATAAATTCTTTATATTTACAAAATATCGATAGTTGGTAGTAGAGATTGATTAATTTAAGTTATCCTTTATAAATTCTCTGAAAAGAGTATCAATAAATTAAAAATGTAAAAATAATAATAGACGCGGGAATTTTTTAGAGGGGTAGGCAAAGGTTTTTGAAGGTGGTTTGCATCCAGTGAAAATCATGTCATGTAGACGCTGGCTATTGTTATTGTCTACAAAGCGCGAGTATTGGGGGAAATTTTCTTAAAAAGATTTGAGTGCCGAGGAATGTGATATTGTATTGAAAGCATAAACAGAGTTTTTCGTAGGATGCCTCATTTAGTTCCAGATCCTAATTGGTATTTGCCAATTAGGGAATGAGTATCGGATTTTATTTTTTCAGCAATATTTTTCACTATCAGGCGTCTGAAAAATGAACCAATTGCGATTAGACGGATGCCTCCATGAGATTTTTCAAACGCAATCAGGTTAGATCCGATATAATTTGATGAACTGTGGGAATATCTTTAGTAGTTATATTATTAAGGAAGGTGGTAAGTGAGTTAAAAAATCCATTGGAATTATGAGATTTTAGAAATGTTTGGAAGTAAGATGGTCTATAGCCCTCCGGGCCTGCTGCTGAAAATTTTAAATTCACTTATTGTTTCGCGAATATCTTGGTTTATAATTATGAAAGGGGGGATATTGAGCGGTGGGCTAGTATAAGAGGCATGTGGATGAAGGGATTTTAGGTTGTCAAGGGTCACGTCGTTAGATGGGGCGAGTTTTGTTTGTGAAGAGATTAATTTTTGTGCACCGAATATGTCGCCTTCATTTATTTTTTTGGATATTTTGTTGCAGGTATTACTGAAACTTTTCATTAGAATTATTGGGATTTTTAACGTAACAGTGTTAAATTTCCCAAATTTTTAAGTCTGTCTTTTATTAAGTTAGGTGGTGAGATAGATTTGTTATCTTTTGGGATTGAGAGGCATTTGAAAGAGAATGTGAAGAGATTATTTCAATGATTTAGATTTGACAAATCTTTGTTAATATAACAAATAATTTAGTAAGATGATCAGTGATCTGGTATTTAACACTAGATGGGATGTGTTTTATTGTTGGTATTTTTT